GCCATGAGCATGGTATGTTTTTCCATTTGTTAACATTTTCAGCTATTTCTTTTCTTAGAGTTTCATAGTTCTCTTTATAGAGATCTTTCACATCCTTTGCTTATAACTAAGTTTAAAAACTGCTTGGCTATTACATTATTCTAAGCAAGACCTATGTACTAGATTCTCATTTTACAAGATCTACTTTTACAGAAGAATGTTCTTCATGTTTTACAGAGGGTCTGACTAACGTAGCTGTCTCCATTTATGTTGTTATTTTATGGTAGTTATTTCCATGGATATTTTCATAGAATTATAGATCTTTTGATCTGGAAGAACCCTGAGATCTATATAATAACTTTATTATACAGATTAGTCAACTGAAATCTGGAGAGGTTGTGACTTATAGTAGGTGATAGAAATAGAAGATAGCAGAATCAATAGCTTAACAAACTGTTAGGTCAGGTATATGGAAGTAGACCAAAAGAAGTAGAAAATAAGAACACTATCCTTTTCCTGTTTAGTTGTGGATTAAATAAACATGATGGCTCCCATCCCCCTCAAGACTTGTTCATAAGTGTATTTATCACAGATAGAAATCAGTAGAGGTATTTAATTTGGGCTTGTTCAAGACACCTTTTTGAAATATTCTTTGTAACTACTTCTGCAGGTGGTTGCCATGTAGTGATACTCTTAGCTCTGATTGACAAGATGAGAGATACAATGTTATTTTAGCTTTTGCAGTTTACTTAATATTAATAATATTTTAGTTTTGTTTATATATTATCAAAATTATCTAGAGATTTATCTACAGATCATATGGACAGAGAGGCTTAGTAATATTTATATTGCTAGTTTATTATAAATAATGAGGAATATAAAGAACTACAAAATGCAGTGGGAAGACTGCCTCATTACATTTTAGCACTAATAAATTAGCAAGGAATATCATGTCCCATACTACAGGAAAAAGGATAAAATTGTGTGTGCATGTATGTATATATGTTTAGCCAACATAAACTCATAAATATGTACAGACAGTTACTGTCAAATATTTACCATTATAATTTTAATAAAAGATGAATAATGAAGTACAGATTTTAGTGTAATAAGAGTAAAAATATACAGTGCTAGATGCTAATTTAATTTGTTTATTCATTCAACTTCAATGGCTAACAGGTGGAGCCGGAAGTTTTGGAAAATAGGGTACCTAGAATCACTCCTATGAATTTGATTAATATTGTGACCTCAGTTCTATTGACTTATAATCATGTACTTTTGGTGTATTATGGATACTCAGTTTCTGTTAGTAAAATTGTATGAATGATAAGAAACATCAAAAATTATACTGGGACAAGATGGCAGATTAGAAGTAGCCCACATATGCCACTCTCAAGGAGAGGACTAAAAATTGCAAGTAGGTGCCCACCTATAGATAGACACTCTTGGAGACAGCATTGTAAATCAACAGAGAGGCAAAAGAAGACAGAGTAAAGGAGACAGGGATAGGGGAGATGCACTCACCAAGATTGGAAGGTATCCGGAAAAGAAGAGACCCCTACATTTGGGGAAGGGATAAAGGAAAGAAATCCAGAGCCGAGTTCTCCCTGCATGGACACGTAAGACTAGAGCTATGAAACTCTTCCTCCTCACCTCTATGGGTCTCCATTCTTATTAGAGAACTGCTTGGAGACTGTATGATTACATTGTATCTGAAAGGCTCAGTAGGGGCATTCTGGCCTCTGTTCCTGGCTAGCTGCATCTCAGCCCTTGGGTCCAGAGAAATTGTTTAGCTTCACTGCATCTGTCCTCACATCACCACTTGCTGGGCTGGAAATCGAGTTGGGAGAGAAGATGCTCTCACACAACCATGACTGAGCACCAAGCACTTTTCCCAGCAGGGAATTCCAATAAAAAGTGCAAAAGTGCCACTTGAGAGGCCCCACAGTAACAGACCTAATGGAACCTAAGTGAGGAAAAGAGTCCAACCATTCTTTAGGCCAGCCCATGTTGCCCAGCCCTTACCACAGTGAAACAAGACCCCAAACCCTACACACTATGATACTGAGGTCTACATCCCCATAGACCTGAATATCATGAGAAATTACATGCCTGTATACACCTCTGTACCATGTGGCAGGTCGTGCCACCAAGTCTTGCATACTAGTTGTTAGGCAACACCTCCACAGAATTCAGCATTGTGCAGCAGCCCCTATCCTTGATTATGTGTGTGAGCCAGCAAGGCATGACCCCTAGCTCTTCATGTTGTGCCACAGGCAACTCCCCAGCATGTCTGTATGCTGTGCAGTGGTCATGCTGCCTGATTTTGTGTACTGGCTGACAGGCCATGCTCCCATGGGGCTGGCATCACCAGAGATTCAGATATCCAGATGCAAGTTGGTCATTGAACACCAGAAATATTCATAGCTAATATGACATTTTCAAGACATATATTCAATATTCAACAACCTGCCCTAAGTCAAAATGAAGAGAAAAAGTCTACAATCTAAAAGACAAAAGCAACCAGACACCTACAAAGGAAAGCCTATAAGGCTAACAGCAGACTTTTCAACAGAGACCTTACAACCCAGAAGGGTTTGGGGCCCCATTTTAAAATTTTCTTGAATAGAACAACTGTCAGTTAAGAATTTTGTATCCTGTAAACCTAAGTTTCATAAATTATAGAGAAATAAAGACTTTTCCAGAGAAGCAG